CATTAGAAGAACAGGGAATGAAGCTATGGAAAATGAGTCGGTTAACCACCTGAGTGAAACCATCAGCGCCGTTTTAGAACGGGGTCTACAGCTTATACTAAACCTCTGTTTCGTTTAGTTAAATGTACGATACTTGCATTGCCTTGGTCGTTGACGAGTGTCCAGATTAAGTCTCGGATGAAAGTCTTGATGGTTTCAAGGTTTTGGACTTGCGATCACGTTCTTCCGGGTTTGAAGAGTGATGAATTCCAAAGATGTTCTGACTCGAGGGTGATTGGGAGTTTCTTCCCAGTGGAAAGTGTAAAAGAGCTAAGAGAGGCATCAGCTGAGATCCTAGGATCTTTGGTGAATGTAAAGACAAGGCCGAAGCCTGGTGCAGACTTAAGAGTTGCAGAAGCATTCTAGCTCACATCCTCATCTTCTCAGAATCTAACAGAACCGCAGACTGACTGACTATCACTGATGTGAGGCCTTTAAGGTCTGAGAAGATTCACGCCTCTCAGGATGGGCTTGTCCAATGAGAAAGGTGTTAGATGCATTTCGGGGGAAGGGTCCATAGACCCTCATAGTTGGTTTGTTGATTGAGGGGTGTTACAGAGTATTTGTTAAATATAACTAAAAAAATTGTGTGTCTGATTGGTCCAGACACTACAGTGTCAAACACATTAAAATGCAGAAATTTGCATTATTTCTTATTTATACAGGTGCATCTCAATAAATTAGAATGTCGTGAATTGGTGGATTTTTGTTAAATGTGAGCCAAAATCATCACAATTAAAAGAACCAAAGACTTCAACTACTTCAGTCTGTGTGCACTGAATTTATTTAATACACGAGTTTCACAATTTGAGTTGAATTACTGAAATAAATGAACTTCCACGACATTCTAATTTATTGAGATGCACCTGTATGTAACGCAGGGATTCCCAAACGCTTACTGTCAGTCAAACCTCTTTCACCTAATATATTTACTTGAAGTACCCCTGAGATTTTAAAATAAATATTTTAATTAAATATCACATTTGCATGCTCACAGTTCTCTGATGTTGGTTAATTATCACAGGACATGCAGGTAAACATATAAAATATTTCATTTTTTATAATAAGTTTTTTATTTTATTTGTTATTTTTAAATAATTTATTTTAATTTTACATTTTTATTATGTAATCAATGATCAGCTTTTCATTAAACTCACAACCCCCCTGCAGTTCCTTCACAAACCCCAGTTTGGGAAACCTTGACGTAACGTTTAATGCACTTCATGTTGTTAATAACAACAGATAGAATACATTTTCTTTCACTTTATGGTACAATACTATCCCATTTGAATCAATGTGATAAACAAACTAGGTAAAAAGTGATCTGATTATATTACCTAAAATGTGTAATGTAATGGATTGCATTACTAACTACAATTTGTGTAATGTAACTTGGAATTAGTAACGGATTACAATTCTCAAGTAATTTAGCCAGCTCTGGTTATCACAAATAGTTAACATGTGTTCAATGTATATTGTTTGGTGTAACATCCTCTATATTCCCTGTACATTAACTTTCAAAAATAAACCTACCATGCATACCGGCATCCAGAACATTCTTATTCAGGATTCATGGCTATTTGATTTGATGTTCCTGTGGCTCAGTGGTAGAGCATTGTGTTAGCAGCGCAAAGGTCGTGGGTTCAATTCCCAGGGAACACACATACTGATAAAAAATGTATAGCCTGAATGCACTGTAAGTCACTTTGGATAAAAGCATCTGCTAAATGCATAAATGTAAATGTAATTCTCCTCAGGTTTGTTCTGTCGGCTCCTAATCTGCTGAGGGTGGGTTCCTCAGAGAACCTCTTTGTGGAGGCTCAGGATTACTCTGGACGAGACCTCGATGTAAAGATCATAGTTAAGAATCATCCGAAGAAGAACCTGGATATACTGTCTAAATCAGTGACATTGACTGCAGCCAACAATTCCCAGATCCTTACAGATATAAAGGTGACGCCACTTTGATATACTTTGTCCTCATGTAAGCATATGTGTGTGATTCTTCAGAGGGCAAACTTCATATTTGTACAATCTGCAATTTTATTTACAATTAATTTGTTTTTATGCATGTTATATCTTTCATTGTTTACTGTTCTGCAGATTCCAAGTGATAGGCAATATTTCTCTGACGATCCGCTGGAGAAGCAGTATGTGTATCTACAAGCTCAGTTTCCATCCGTCACTCTGGAGAAAGTGGTCCTGCTCTCATTCCAGTCTGGATATATATTTGTCCAAACAGACAAGCCCATCTACACACCTGCTAGCACAGGTAAGAAATTAATTGGAGCTCAACATTAGATGCCTCTTTTGAATGACATGACGCAAAGCACAAAATAAAAGTATTCCGTGAATTATCATTTATCCTTTCTGCAGTTCAGTACAGGATCTTCTCACTGACCTCTGGAATGAAACCATTTGAACATGCTGGAATATCAGTAGAAATCATGGTACTCTAAAAAAAGTGCACTAAAACTTTCCTTAAAATACATATTTTAATATAATAAAATAAACAGCATGATTAACAATTAGTATATTTTTTTATTGAAGGATCCTCAAGGTATCACAACTATGAGAGAAACCATATTTCCACAGCAAGGGATTAGATCAGGAAAATATACCGTACCTCAGCCTGCCAGGTGCGTTCATGCTGAAAACTGAGACCTAGTGCTGGGCGGTATACCGGTTCATACCAAATACCGGTGTTTATTTTTGTTATGATATGAATTTTTAAAATACCGCAATACCGGTATGTCGCTTAAACAACGTTCGGAACGCGACACTGTTTGAAAGGGGTCCCTTTTCACTGTTGCACTGTGGTGAGGGAACAGCTGCATGTGTTACTATATAAGCGTGATAGTTCCGAAACTGAAGCTGTAGAACTAATAGAATGTGATGACACGGAAGAACTCATCCACAATATCCACATTGACCGCCACAAATATCCACCGCCCCCTGCCATCAGCTCCCGCGTCTCACACACACACAAGCGCGACTTTAGCACTAGATTTTGCAACTTTCAGACCCATTTAGCAGTTTTGTCATGTACCGTGAAACCGGTATAATTTTGAAAAATACCGTGATATAAATTTTTGGTCATACCGCCCAGCACTACTGAGACCTGATGTAACTAGACACACGTTAACTGACTGGATTATCACTCGATTTATCTGTAGAGAAGGACATTCATTTGCAGCTCTGTTTTGACGTGATTAATGTGTTTGTATTTGTAGTCCTGGGATCTGGAAGGTGGTCACAAGATTCACAAACACACCACAAAAGAATTACACTGCTGATTTTGAAGTCAAAGAATATGGTACTGTGTGGGCTTTATATTTATTATATTTTTGTTGTATATAACAAATACTACATATAAACAGTTGTGGCAAAAATCTAAGACCACTTCTCAAAATACATCTATTTTGCAAGGTTTTTGTTTTTTATTATTAATGTTATATCAACACATGGAAATCTTGCAGTGCTTTTCATTATGCGTGTTTGTTTTTATAGTGCTTCCCACTTATGAGGTCACATTATCACTCAGTCAATCGTTCTTCTGTGTAAAAGATGCTAGTCTGACAGTTAGCATTGAAGCAAGGTAAGGCAATTATGTTTTGTCACTTGATCTATTTCAGTATGCTTTATTAGAATGTCCAAGTCTCGATATCTGTTTAATTTCATATTCTCTCACATTTGAAGCTGTGTACTTACCAAAGCACTTCTCTGCTAGTTAATCTTGATGTCACAGATAAAGTCTGTTGTTTTTTTTAGATACCTTCATAGAAACAATGTGAACGGACATGCGTTTGTGGTGTTCGGTGTGATGGAAGATGAGAGGAAAACAAGTATTCCTTCTTCTCTTCAAAGAGTTCAGGTGAGCTTCATAACAAGCACAAACTGATGAGCTGATGTGTTAGTAAGTGATTCAGACTGATATTGGCATTTGCATTAACCCCAGATATCAGACGGAGAAGGTAATGCCAAGCTAACAAAGGACATGATACTTCAGACCTTCCCAGACATCAACCAACTGGTTGGACGATCAATTTACATTTCAGTCAGTGTTTTATCAGATACTGGTAAGAGACTGCACACCAGAATGCAAGAGTCTACTGCTACTATTATAGATTTTACACTGTGTCTTAAAAATGCAGCACATAGCGTGAGGTGCTAAAAAACAACCCCAACTGCCAAAATATTGTAATTTTATATGATTTTATTTTATATTGACCTTAAATATTATATTACATGTTAATATTATACAATTCTAGTCACATTTTTCTATGTGTTTCAGGCAGTGAAATGGTGGAAGCTCAAAGGAGAGGCATTCAGATAGTGATGTCACCGTACACAATCCACTTTAAAAAAACACCACAATTCTTCAAACCTGGAATGCCCTTTGATGTCTCGGTATGAAACTTTTCTGTTCTTGCAAAAAATAATAAGCAGTCTGCATTCATAATACAATTGATGAAAATACCCTAATTGACCTGCCGTTTATGTCAAGGTTCAATTGACATACACTTTATTGTCCAATTGTCCTTTGCCACACCATATCTTGGAAAATCAAAATTTTTCCCACATGTACTTCTGACTTTCTGGTGGCATTCATGTGCTTTCAACTCTAAATATGATCTACCCAACATGATTTGAATGCACCACTAAATGGCATTTAGAAACAGTGAATCAGGTCTAGCAAAACATAGCTGATGTTCTTAAATTTGTCATTTTGTTCTGTTTTCATAGGTCTATATAACAGACCCTGACCAGATGCCTGCTGAAAACATTGAAGTGGAGGTAAATCCAGGAGTGGTCAGAGGTCGAACGAGAGCCAATGGCATTGCGAAGCTTACCGTCAATTCTTACGAAGGATCTTCCACACTGGAGATCACTGTAAGACCTGCCATCTCAACTGCACTGATGTTCAGTCAGATGTATTACTGAATTACTGAGTTGATATGTCTCAGGCTTACTGAAAAAAAAAAAACTATTCTTAAACCAACCTAAGCATTCCTGCCTGTCATATGTGGTTTAGGCTGGTCTAGCTGGTCTCCTAGCCTGGTGAAACTGATCTTGACTGCATTTTTCAGCATATAATAGCATAAAATCAAGAATTAAAATCGGTTCACTTCCAGGTACAAACCAAACAACCAAAATTAGATGACGACCAGCAGGCAGTGAGGAAGATGACGGCTCAGGCCTATCAAACCAAAGGCGGCTCCAACAACTACCTGCACATCGGCATTGATGCTGCAGAGCTTCAGATCGGTGATCAAATGAAAGTCAATCTGAATCTGGGAAGAAGTCCAGGAGTCAGAGATCAAGATTTCACCTACATGGTGAGTGACAGCCCTTTTTCGGCCCAATTGATATCATCTAGCATTATTCTGTTAGCAATGACACATGCTAGCAATGCTTTTGATCACAAGCAATTACAAAAAAAGTGTTTTTTTTGTGTGTGTGTTTTTTTTTAAACGAAAGTTAAAACGCTTTCTATGGCGCCTGAATAGAAAGTTTTCAGGATTTCTGGTGAACCCCTGAATTTCCTCAGCTGTCGCTGATGGTACAGTCTTTGCTTGGCTTTATTCACCTGAGCTTGAATGTGTGCAGTCCAAGTCAGGTCCTCAGATATGTTTGCTCCAAGGTTCTTGAAGCTGCTCACCCTCTCCACAAGGGTACCACTGATCATGAGACGGGTGTAGGTCCCCTGCTGTCTCTTCCCGAAGTCTATAATCAGCTCTTTGGTTTTGCTCACATTCAAAGAGAGACAGCTGTCCTGGCAACAAGATGTCAATTTCTCTACCTCTACTACTGTCAATTTTGCAGTGTGTCTTAAAAACATAGCACTAATGTCAAGGGACAATGTCTTATATTTTTTTCTCACATTTTCAGATCTTGAGTAAAGGTCACATTGTTCAAGCAGACAGGTTTAAGCGAAGAGGACAATCACTAGTGACTCTATCTCTACCTGTAACCAAAGACATGGTGCCGTCCTTCCGCTTTGTGGCTTATTACCATGTGGGCTCGTCTGAGGTGGTGTCTGATTCAGTCTGGGTTGATGTGAAGGACACGTGCATGGGAACGGTGGGTAAATTACGTATTACTATTAATCTCTTAGACATTGAGAATTGAAACTTTGCTTCAAAAATGGCTCAATTGGAAATTTGGGGCATCAGAAGTTCCTCTTAATGTTTCTTGTGTTTCACAGCTGAAGGTTCAGGTGAAGGAGCCTCGACCGATCTATGAGCCAGGAGAAAGTTTCAGCTTGCAGATAACTGGAGATCCTGGAGCTAAAGTTGGTCTGATGGCGGTGGATAAAGCTGTGCACGGACTGAACCAGAACAGACTCACTCAGACAAAGGTGAAGGAAACTCATCAGCACCTCAGCAGCTTGCGAATGACTTATAAATGGTATCTTTGCTGCTTTAGATCTGGGACGTCATAGAGAAGCATGACATTGGCTGTACGGCAGGAGGAGGAAGGCACAGCATTGGGGTTTTCACTGATGCAGGTCTGATGTTTGAGTCCAACACTGCAGGAGGAACCAACACCAGAACAGGTATGTGTGTATTTATTATATGAAATATATATTTCCATGTGTGTCACCTCAGAGTAAAAAATAATAGGTAATTGTGAAGTCTAAATATTTATATATTTGATAGTGTCTTAAAATTATAAATGTAATATTCTTGAACTCAAAGTATCCTGCTTTTTAAACATCCTGTAGTGCCTGAGTGTCTCGTACCTTTAAAGAGAAGAAGAAGAGAGAGTCTTCAGCGAGTCACAACTATACTGGGTGAGGAACTTTTATTTTTATTTGACAGACAGTGAAAGGAAATGATTTGGAGAGAGAGGATAATTTAATGACTTCAGGGCTCCTTCTTCAGCTATTCTTCTCCATCTGTCCTCGTTGTTCTACATCAGGGCTGGGCAACTTCGGTCCTGGAGAGCTACTGTCCTGCAGAATTTAGCTCCAACCCTAATCAAACACACCTGACTGTAGCTTAATAGTGATCTTGAAGACACTGATTAGCTGGTTCACGTGTGTTTGATGAAGGTTGGAGCTAAACTCTGCAGGATAGTGGCGCTCCAGGACCGAAGTTGCCGAGCCCTGTTCTACACTAACATTGTTTTCTCAGCTGGTCAGTACTCTGGTGATCTGAGGAAGTGCTGTGTGGACGGCATGAGGGATAATAAACTTGGCTACACGTGTGATCGTCGAGCCATGTACATCGTAGATGGACACAACTGTGTCCAGGCCTTCCTGCACTGCTGCCATGACGTGGAGGCTCATAGTATGGAGGCTGGAGAGGAGGAGATGATTCTGGCTCGCAGTACGTATCTTAAAGTCATTAAGCTGGTTGTCAAACAAATGATCTCAAAGGGTTAGTTCACCCAAAAATTAAAATTAGCCCATGAATTACTCACCCTCAAGGCATCCTAGGTGTATATGACTTCCTTCTTTCAGACGAATCTAGTCGGAGTTATATAAAAAATTGTCTTTGATCTTCTAAGCTGTTTAGTGGCAGTCAGCGGGTGTTGCAGTGCATCAGTCCAAAATAAGTTAAATAAAGCGCGTCCATCCATAATAAAAAGTGCCTCACATGGCTCCGGGGGGGGTGAGCAAAGGCCTCCTTTAGCAAATCGATGCGTTTTTGTAAGAAAAATAACCATATTTAAAACGTAATAATCATTTGAATCTAGCTTGCGTTCACTGTTGTACACGGAAGCAGCTCTGGGCGGATGACGTAGGACGTAGGACGTCGGCGTTGCGCATGGCATAGTTTGAGTTAATTGCAAACAGATCAGGTGAACTTGTTTTTTCTGCCCTTTTCTTTTCCTGATGCCTGTCAAATTTAACTCCTAGTTTCTCACATCATTGTTCGCTTAACCCGGACAGGTGAGGATAGCGACTATTATGAGAGTTTTGATGAAATCACATCACGTACACAGTTCCCTGAGAGCTGGCTTTGGGCAGAGGAGATTCTGCCGGTCTGCCCAGAAAAAAACAAGTTATGGTGAGTATGAGACAAACAGATAGAGCAGAGTCTGAGTGATTTCAAACTTCTTCAATCTTCTTTAGCTGTATTAATGCTTTTATATTCCCTCCTGTCTCAGTGGAACAACGTCGATCACAAGAGACAGAATCTACCTTAAAGAATCAATCACTACCTGGCAAATCTTTGCTATCAGTCTGTCGAAAACACACGGTATTTATGTTTGGATGAAGTACACTTATATAGTGCACCTTTTCACCCTGTTATAGACCTTCAGCTTTATGCTAAAGTCTTTCTCCAAAGGCATCTGTGTGGCAGATCCATACGAGATGATCGTTTATAAGAGATTCTTCATTGACCTGAAGGTGCCGTACTCAGCTATTCGCAATGAACAACTACAAATAAGGGCCATCCTGCACAACTACACCAAAAAGAAAATTAGGGTAAGGAATCAGTCATTTTTTCCTCAATAAACACCCTAATACGGTGTCAGATACCTTATTAATGTCAGGGTAAATGTGCCAATGAGCCAAATTGAAGCTGTTTTAATCATACACTGTCCAAGTTCACAGGTTTACATGGTTGTTTGCCAGTACAGCAAGCACTTTCGTGGATGATCCAGATGCTAAATTTTACAAAATGTGAGTTTTTTTGAGATTTTGCAACTGCCTGTTGGTCTCTCCATCAGGCACGGCTTGAGTTCATGGAAACCGAACATATTTGTAGCTCTGCCAGTAAAAAGGGCATGTACCAGACTGAAGTGGAGGTCGAGTCCATGTCCTCCAGGTCCATCCCGCATGTGATTATTCCCCTGGAGTTGGGCAATCACTGGATTGAGGTGAAGGCAGCAGCGTATGACTCTGTCTACAGTGATGGAGTGAGGAAGATCCTGAAGGTGGTGGTGAGTGTAAAGTTCCCTTCGGCCCATTGATGAAATACCAGAACTGACTGCATTATTTGGCATAGATGTATCATAAACATTCATAACAACAGCAAACCTCTTCTTAATAAAAATATTTAAGATAGGCCAAAAAAGTCCCATCACAAAACAAAAGTGGATCAAAAAGTAATCTGAATCCACTTTTAAGGTATAGAATGATAAAAATGGAGCGCTAGGTGTGACCTGCCTAATTTTGTGGACAAAAATAATTTTGTAGCATGAAATTTATTTTTTTATGCATTTTGCACACAGAAAGACAAAATGCAGTTGCACTACGTTTGCCAAAATGTAAAGTCATCACATCATTTTATGCACAAAAAACTAAACCACAATCTGATTTTGTGAAGTTTTATTCTAACTTTAGGTTGCCTTTTTAAGAACTGACCAGGGACAACAGATCAAAATCAGCCTATAACACTGGCCTTGTCAAATAAATGCCAAAAAATAAAAAAATAAAAAAATAAAAAGTTAAATCCATTTTGTGCACAAAATGTTGAATGCATTTTTTTTTTTTACAGAAAATGCATATTAATTTGCAAAATGTCAGCTGATCCCTCAGAAACACAGTATTCTTGTGCCGATGGGTCAAACGCAATGAAGTCAAATGCTGTTTACTGTATTGTTCTTGTCAAGGTTATCAGCGACAGCTAACTTTCCGTAAACCAGATGGGTCCTTTGCTGCCTTGATGAACATGCCTAGCAGCACATGGTGAAAGACAGTTCTATAGATATGTGGTCACATGAGCTAACTTTTGTGGGCAAAAAGGTAGACGCCATTTTGAATTTAACACGGATGAAAATGAGGCTGTGAGAGATAGACCTAAGGCCCGTTCCCACTAAATCCTTCTACACACTGCACGATTTTAGCAATCCTATAAGATCACTACAAATCACACTGTGCGACATGGATCTGATAAACTTGGGTACGACATGCATGCAGACTGTACGGTGATGACACCGATTGACTCGTAGGCTGCGACGCACGTTACTATGGAATAATAAAAGTCATCAGCATGCACTAGAGGTAAACAAAAAGAGCGCGATGAATCACACTTTGGCAGTTGTTGTTTTTATGTGTGCTGAAAAAAAGTGGAATCGGCAAAAGAAGAAGGGATAAGAGCTTGAGGTAAGCAGTTTTATGTTTTAGCGCCATGTCGCGTTGATTTCATGTCGCATTTTTATTGGATGGTCAGTAAACGTGGGCGGTAGCAGCAAACACACTGTGTAATGACCATGTTGAATTTCTGACAGTCCGAAAATAATCGTAGGCTATCTTTGGTCACGAGATCGTGACAACGGCCGTCTTTGAACCTCTCTCACTGTATGACATAGGACCACCGTTTAGGAGCCACGATCACAGAAATCGCCAATTTTTCGTCTGGAACATCCGAAAATCATACAGTGTGTCTCTGGCTTAAATACAGTTTTCAAAATAGTGCTAAATGTAAAAGAATAGCAAAGTCCACAACACAACTATGCTACAGAGGAACATATATATAATAATTACCACGTTTTTTGACCCACCCAAAAAATGCAGGCCTAGTTGTGAGGCCCATTCTTGATGGACTCATAATATTTATATTTGTCTATGTACATTTTGAATCTTGTGGTAATTTATAAATTATTTAAGAATTAAACACAGTATATTGTTTTGTTTTGAATGGATTACTGAAAAACTTGACAATTATTAATTTACCATCATTATAGAAGCTGGATTTCATTATATAGCTGATATCAGCTAATCAAATCTATGTTTCAGTCTGAGGGTGTGCTCACTAAGGTACAGGAGGCAAATGTTGAGCTCAATCCTGCTAAAATGGGTAAGAGTTCTAAATAATAGAGTTTCTCCTACAGAATATCCAAAAACAATAGATACAAACCAAATCAACCTGAACCTGTGTGACAGGTGGAGTACAACAAGTGTCTGTCAGGAGTAACAAACCAGATGCTCAGGTTCCTAACACACCCGCAAACACGTACATCACAGTGACCAGTAAGGAGAAATCAATATGCTCATTCATTCTGCTTGTCCATCCGATTGTCCAGTCCTGACTGCCGTCTGTTACTCAAGGTCAGGAGTTCAGTAGGTTGATCGAGCAGGCCATCAGTGGAGACTTAATGGGGCGGTTTATTGTTCAGCCTCGTGGTAATGGAGAGGAGAACATGATCCATATGACTCTACCTCTCATAGCCACTCATTATCTGGACAGCACCAATCAGTGGGACACTGTTGGTATGGAGTGCCGTAATGAAGCCGTCAACCATATCAACACAGGTCAGCTGATCCCTCAGAAACACAGTATTCTTGTGCCGATGGGTCAAACGCAATGAAGTCAAATGCTGTTTACTGTATTGTTCTTGTCAAGGTTATCAGCGACAGCTAACTTTCCGTAAACCAGATGGGTCCTTTGCTGCCTTGATGAACATGCCTAGCAGCACATGGTGAAAGACAGTTCTATAGATATGTGGTCACATGAGCTAACTTTTGTGGGCAAAAAGGTAGACGCCATTTTGAATTTAACACGGATGAAAATGAGGCTGTGAGAGATAGACCTAAGGCCCGTTCCCACTAAATCCTTCTACACACTGCACGATTTTAGCAATCCTATAAGATCACTACAAATCACACTGTGCGACATGGATCTGATAAACTTGGGTACGACATGCTGTTGAACTTCTGACAGTCCGAAAATAATCGGAGGCTATCTTTGGTCACGAGATCGTGACAACGGCCGTCTTTGAACCTCTCTCACTGTATGACATAGGACCACCGTTTAGGAGCCACGATCACAGAAATCGCCAATTTTTCGTCTGGAACATCCGAAAATCATACAGTGTGTCTCTGGCTTAAATACAGTTTTCAAAATAGTGCTAAATGTAAAAGAATAGCAAAGTCCACAACACAACTATGCTACAGAGGAACAATACTGGTGGAATCCCTTTCAGAACGATTTTTTTTCCAGCTAATAAACAATAAAAACATTGAAAGCCAATCAGAATCCTCTACTTTTAAAGAACTTGAGCATTTAACGGCCAAACGACATAACAGCATAGCTGATCCTTTTTCCAACTCAGTGATTCTGTTTTTTTTTGTTTTCAGACATATCGGTGTTATATCTTTCACGTGGATGTTATAAGTTGCACTGAGTAAATACAGCTGGGTAAAACAAAAACTGTGTCCGTCTTCATTTCAGACTGCAAAGCAACAAAATGTGATTCTTTTAAAGGTGGTGATTCTTTTCTATACCCACTGTATGAAGCACAGCTCAAACAGAAGTCACTTTCAAACCAAGCTTTCTATTTATTAATGCGTCCAATTCGCGCGAGCAGCTTGAATCCGTTGTAAAATCTGCATGTGGAAATCATTCGCCCTCGCACGTGACTGGATTTTGCCCGCGAAAGTTTGCTGAATGTGACCGCGGCTTGATTAAGATCACTACAGTATTTATCTGCTCAATTGTAGTTACACAGTGCTTCTTACACGTACCTTCTCTTCCCGTCAAAGGCTGACAGCATATGTGGCTAAAGTGTTCGTGATGGCCAGTGATCTGATTGCCACAGAGGAGCATGTGATCTGCAGCGCCCTCATGTGGCTGGCCACAAAACAACAGCTGTCAGACGGCACATTTAAAGAAGAGGCGCCTGTTATACATCAGGAGATGCTTGTAAGCCACGTTTGGATGTAGCAAAAAGATTATTTTCATTTCATGGGATGATTTTTCTGTTAATAACACTTTTTCAGCCATTAATCCTCTGCAGCCACTTTCAAAAAGAAATTCGGAATTTAAATAGAAAAAGATGTATTTATTTATTTATAAACAGCCATACTACCTCTACTAATACTTAATACATAATTACTAACTTTTAGTTCTACTACTTCTAGTGAATTATATCTTACAATAATTAATTTATTATTCATTCAGAAGTTATTTTGTGAAAAAATATGACAAAATTATTCTGTGATTCTTCTGTCCACTGCTGAACCATGTAAAAAAAATGCATTCAATGGGCCAAGCATGCCAGTAGTTGAAGAAACACTCAATAATTTACAACAATTTATTTTAATTAAAAACAGTTTTAAAGAATTTTGAGAAACTGGAAGACATCAAGGTCAATATGCTGTTAATGAAATCCCACAGTGGAGTTTTACTAACAATTGTTATTCAGTTTGGTATCTTGTTCATTTGCATATATTTGTCTCATTTATTTATGTGAATTCCAGGGTAATGTACGCGAGAAAGATGATGATGCCTCTCTAACTGCATTTGTCCTGACTGCAATGCAAGAGGGGAGCAAGATCTGTGCTAGATCTGTAAGTGTGATTCCTGGAAACAGCTCTACGATACGTCATCTTCATCTCGAGCACGTCTCACTCAGTCTCTCTCTCTATACTAGAATCTTCAGAGCAGTATGAACAGAGCCATTGATTACCTGCTGCTGAGAGTTCACAGCCTGACCAGCACTTATGCTGTCGCTATGACTTCTTATGCTTTAGCCCATGCTGGAAAACTCAATAAAGACATCTTGAAGAGT